GCAGCACATGGACCCGGTTTGATCTTCCAACACGACAATGCCAGACCCAACACACCAATTTTGACAAGGAATTTCCTTCAGAATGCGGGAATCAATGTCATGGACTGGCCGTCAAGGTCTCCCGACCTCAATCCCATCGAACATGTCTGGGATGCTCTTGGCAGAAGTCTGCACACTCTCCAGAACCAACCACAGAATTTGCAAGATCTTGGCACCATTTTGCAAAAACAATGGCGTTGTCTTCCCAATCATGTGTTCACAAGCATCACAAGGTCCATGCGGAGGCGTTGTGTGGCAGTTGTCAACGCACATGGTGGCCATACACGCTACTGAACTTGCGTGCCATCAGATTCTCGTGCTTGGGACTTATGATTTAAACTGTTGATGTTATTACCGAATACCGTAGGTGCTTGGAACAAATTATGGTTACCACCATTCGTTAAAATCCTTCTTTGGACATTAATGATTAAAATTACCTTCTCGGATACATTTGTCTGTTTTATATCATATATGGGATTACTTTTAAAAATGTGAAGTTTTTAATTTGACTCAGTATATATCCGGCCACAATATATACACAATGTTCAAAACATTAATCGTGTCACCTAGACAGACACACGTACACGATACAGTTAATGTCACAGGGGTACAGAAAATGTCAGTATCGGTTGTGCCAACCACATGCATCAATCACCGCTTGACACCGATGACCCATAGATGCAATCAAGTTGTCAATAACACGCTGTTGGATGTGCTGCAATTCATGCTGAAGTGCATCAAGAAGCGCTGGAAGTGTTTGGGGCTGTTGATTCCTTCTGCGAACGCGTCGATCCAACTCGTCCCACAGATGCTCAATCGGGGACAAATCTGGTGACCGGGCTGGCCAAGGTAATGTCTGGATGTTGTTATGCTGTAAGAAGTCCTGACAAACACGTGCAATATGTGGTCGAGCGTTGTCCTTCTGGGACTGTCCGCCATGAACGTTGACGTGAGGAGGAACGTAAGGCTGTAGGATCAAGTCTCTGTAACACACACCTGTAAATGCACCTGCCACATGCACGAGAGGTGTCCTACCACCGTGATGAATTCCGGCCCACACCATGACACTCCCCCCGCCAAATGGGACAACCTGCTGCACACAGTTGGGGCCGTAACGTTCACCCCGACGTCTGTAGACACGTGCGCACCCATCAGCACTTGTGAGTAGGAAACGGGACTCGTCAGTAAACAGTACCTTTCTCCACCTTGCACGTGCCCATCTAACCCTCTGTTGGCACCAAAGCAGACGGTCAATACATGACGTCGGACAGGTCCTCGTGCAAAAAGTCCAGCCTCCCTCAGTCTGTTGCGTACCGTTTGATCTGATATTCTGCGTACCCCAGGGATCTGTGTGGTTGTAGACGTGGCTGTCGTAGTGCGGTCTCGGAGGTGTCGCAGACGAATGTATCGATCTTGTGCTTGGGTTGTCACCCTTGGTCTTCCTGACCTTGGTCTGTCATCAACTCTGTTGGTGCTGTTGTATTGGGTCCACAGTGCGGAGATTGTCTGTCTGGATACGCCAAAGTGCCTGGCCACTTCTTGCTGAGTTGCTCCAGCTTGTAATCTCCCAATGGCGTTGTTCCGTTGAGCTGCATTCAGTCTTGGCATTCTGTCACCGCCTCTACTGCCGTTATAAGGACTGTATGAACAGCCGTTTATGTGGATTTTTTTACCCATTCAGCAGGGGGGCCTGCATGCCAAAATGCAGGATCCTGTGCTGCACGTTTTTTACACGCGGTTGCGTTAGGATGAAGCTGTAAAATTGATCCCCAAACACTACGTTTATGTGCTTTGCATGTGTTTTCGCGAATTATAGACACATCATCTCTCTGTTTGACTTATTTGGTTCTCATTTAATGTAATTATTTTAGATATTTGGCAAAAAGTGGTTTTACATCTATGTCAAGTTTCTTTTTTTGAAGAGTATATATATCTACTGTTTTATCATGGTTAAAAGTTTGGTAATAATAAATGAACTTTTGCGTTCACAAGGGGGTAGAATCTAGTAACAAAATGGTATACATTCACATGACTCTTCTGTCATTTGTTACCACTTGCATGTTTCCGTAACCTTCAACAAGGCTCGTCCCCCTCTCCAAGACAGCCATGCGTCCAAACAGCGCTGGGCAACCAGGAAGAGCGTCAGGATATGGTGACCTCGATCGAGTATTTAAATTAATTTTGGGAATACGTCTTTGTTTATAAAATGTGGAAAAATGTAGATTGTCGGTCCCGAACCGCAGTGTATATGGAGAACAGAATTGTTATATAAATTAATGTAGTTACTTGCAGGTCCATGTTGGTTGACAGATTCAAATGTACATGTGCGTTTGTTTACATTTAGGACATAGCTCCCTTGACTGTCATGTCCATTCATTTGAGCCGTCACAAGTCTTGCCTTTCCAAAACTACAGTCAGTGTAATAGCCATTTTGATGGTATACCGAGACGTCAACAATTAAACAAAATTATTATCTTATCACCTATTAAAATATAAAATCATTTAATTAGCTGTTCACACGCAATATCACACACACATATAATATATATTTCAAACAACATGTTTGTGACAGACCAAATTAACTCACAACTCCACAAAGATAACAAAAATATAAGAAAATTTCATATTTCTGATTCAAAATATATATGTTTTCCTAAAATATTAGAATTAGTAAAGTGAACATGTAACTATAGACATGATAGAGATGGCTGAATTTCCCCGGGTCATTCATATTTTACATTGTCTTCATGACCCATTTAAGGTCGATGTCAGCTCAGCTAAGTTTTGTTTGTGTACCAAATGCTAGCTTTTATTAACTATCAATAAATGTGACTTTGTTGGACATTGCTCTGGGGTATAGATTTAAAGCATACCAGCTAGTACTGACATATATAGAGACACCCCACTTCCATAACTAGCGCTTTAACAGTGCCGTTTAACTTCGCTTTATTGGCATAAAAACGGGCAGGGGGGGGGGGGGGGGGGGGGATTCGTGTAGATGGATTATAAATGTCAAAATTAGGGAAGAGGTAATATATTTTATACGGATTTAAAATTGGTATAAATTAATATATATTTGGGTGATTATCTGGTTTCTAAGATTCCTCTGTGTTATGTCAGGTCCGCGTCACATACTTTTATTACATTAACAAGCGATAACTGAACAAAAAATACAGATTGCAAGAAGAAAAATTGATTTCTCAACAAACATTCACAACCATATGATGGTTTACCCAAAGACATATACATGTATCAGGGATGTGAGCAGGTTTTCCCGAAAAAAAGAGGAAAAGTCTAGGGGGGTCTGGGGGCATGCCCCCCCAGACATTTTTAAAACATTTGATTGCATTTTAAGCAATTTCGTGCAGTTTGGACAACATTCACACCAAGAAATGTAATAAGTCAATGGCAAAAGTCAATAAGTCAAATAAACAAGATGGCAGATGCAGTAAAATTTCAAAGTTAAATCAGTACTTTTAAAAAATCGGGCATAGCTTTCGCGCACCTGGCTACCCGCCAGGTCTGGGAGCAATACTGCCATAAACTTCAACCCCCATCCCCCAGACACAAGGACAACTGTCACAAGTGTGCAATGTCTGACCCTTTCCCCATGTTGAAGCATATTGAAAAAAACTTACCTTGTACTTACCTTTTGATGGAAAAAACAAAACTCCATTGCAAACATAAGACATTAATACAACATATATCCCCATGACATGTGGTTTTGGACGCTGAAGAAACATTCATAGTTTTTTCGCTTATCACATGAACAACTGTAAAACATCTCATTCACTTACAGGCTAAAAGACAACTTTATCTTAAAAACAAGCCATCAGCTGACGCTGAGTATTTACAATTTCTGTGTGACGCCACACCCCACGTTATAGTGCAAGTATTCGTGACAGAAAACGTATGATGCCCGAAAACCTATGCTGGTGAAAACCCTGATCGAAAACAGGACAATCCGCGCCAAATGTCCGGTTTTCGATCATATTTTTCGGAGTGTTTTTTTTTAATTTTTAGTTAAATTTTTACGCGGAAGATGATTTTTTCCGAGGACTACTGTTTTAAAAAACGCGATTTTCCGCGTTTCCGCGGAGATTTCACATCCCTGATGTATATACGTCTTTGGTTTACCACAAATCATAAAATATATATGATTTGAATGAATTATTTTAAAATTTTTAAATTTGTAAAAGTAGAGACCAGCATTAAATACTGACAGAAACTGTTAATGAAAACTTTATAATATTATAGATTTTAATTAGAAATCTACCTAAATAGGTGACGTACATATATTCTGGTATTTCTAACATGTAAGAGACTAATATGTTACTCCCACACAATTTCATCAGTTAAAGATGTTTATGTTTTATCTAGCACGGACATATTTTGTACTCAGCTGCATGTCTTTACATCCGCTGATAAGATATTGTAACTCTTGCTTTTTTTCTTAACACCTTACTAATTTCCAAATAAAGAAGAACAGTTGAGAAGGAATGGGTTGAATAACTTGCCAAATATACTTTTGTAAAAACGAATATACTAATATTTATATCAGAGATGTCAATATAGCTGGAATATTGCCGAGTACGGCGTTAAATAACAAACAAACAACAGGAATACGCGAGCGCTGCTGCAACGCCTACATCAATCTTACTGTAAGACGCGGGTAGACTAAGAGTTGTCGTTCTTGTTTGAAGAAGTTCGCGTGTTCATACTCCGATATGGAATCCTTCGAGAGGGACACGAGTCTACATTCGGCTTGTCCCGGAATTGGACAAGTTGGTCACGAATGACTCTTCTGAAACAAGAATAAAACTGCCGAGCATACAGTGGGAGTTTGGACACTTGTGCGGCCAGAAAACCAAACACTCCAACGGGGGAACCAGTCAATTCTATCATAAGCTCCCGTCAGCGACATTTTAACTCGCATTTAGATCAGAAGGAAGGTAAAATGATGTAGCACGTGTAAATATGAGCTTACGGAAGTGCTTAGCGGAAGTAATCAACCCAACATGGCAGCTTCTGCGAAAACGGGAAGCTGAGAAGAACTTTTCATCCTGAGAACTCTTTTGTGTCGAGAATACAAGTTTAGAAACGCCATCCTTGTCTTACTGCCATTGAAATTTGCTTCGAATCGATGCGTTTTCACGACGCCGTTGCACGTGTTTCCTTGTCAAGCGGACACTGATCGACATCAAAAGGTACTGTTTTTGACCACTCCCCCTTCGCCTTGTGACTTGATACATCATGTGATGTATTGTCACTACACACTTGATATTTTTTTTTCACACAACAATAGTAAACAATATCACACCTAATTAAATCAAGGACTCAAAATATGTAATAAAAGTTATACAGTTCTTGAACTCTTTTCATAGACTTGTATTCTAATTGGTATGTGATCCGACACTAAATTAGCTAAGACCACCAGTGCTACTTGTAAATCAGGAAGATTTCTTGTTTTGCAATTACACACCGACCAGCCTGCTATTTAAGTAGCCATATATCTCACACACTCGCTCAAACCTTATAGTTAACGAGACGTTCCAATTTCTAGGTAATGATTGAGATTAAAATGAGAGTAAAAATCTTGATATCAATAATGTTTATGTTGTATGTAGCTTTGAACCACAGGTACTAGTTATTGGTCAGTAAATCAAAATATATACCCCCTATATGTCAGTAGAGAAAAAAGAATGTCACTCACCATCTTGCTGGTTTTGTTTACATAAATATTCAGGTTGATTTGTTTATGAAACGCTTATTGTCAAACACATTTCTGACCCATGATCGATAGACAACTGCATGATCTATACACATGTACAAGCCATCTAAATTCAATAAACAGTGAATGCTATGCCCTGTGGCACCATAAAATCTTGTATCATTCAGTGTATTGTTTCATGAAATGTACTGTATCGTCTGGGAAATTAAGATTTATTTGAGAAACAAGATTCTTTTTTTTAGAGTGAGAGGAAAATGTCTACATTTGTATTGTTTCTTAAAGTTTCAACTGACAGAACAACTTTTTTTGTATAATATTACTTTTCTTTTCTAAAATTTGAGTTTCAAATATATATTTTATACTTTTATATTTGTATTTAATAATTTTGCATTCTAATTTGTACACACAAAATTTCACATTCTCACCTCTTGATCTTTTCTTTGGAAATGCAGGCCTGAATATTTGATTTCTGACCAAGTGTTCAGGCTACAAAAACTTTTTTCAGGGTAGCCACTGGTAAAATGTCAAGCTTATATTATAAGTAGCCAAAATCATTTGAAATTATCTTGTAAAATCATTTTTTAAAGCGTTTCTAAAACTTTCCATTGAGGGGTTTCTTTTTCTGGAAAGATATGTCTGCAATACAAGTGTTTCACACTTAGTGAATGTATGACCAGACTTTCCTTTTTTAAAATTGAACTACCAAATATGAACTCTGTCAGCATATACAGGTTGTGCAGAACAATATGTGCAAGTCATAGCATTTAGTCTTAAAATCGTGTTTTCCATTCCCTTTTAATTTACTTTGGAATGTCGCTTGCTTAGACGGTTGCTCTGTGTCTTCATTTGGGTCCATTGTTTCAGAATCTTGACCAGCATCACTATTGTTAGTTCCAACATTACTGTCATCGTCATTTTCACTTACAAATTTTGATGGCATCATAGTTTTTTATACTATACGAAGATGGAAAAGGACTTCACCCTGATATTGTCAAGTAGATGGTCTATGAACGTCAGAAGTTCATAAACTTGAGGCACTGCACTGCCTAACTGAATCCTTGCGCTGCTGCATGGACCTATTGAAATGTTCAGTGACACAGATGATAAGTGCATATATGATATGGTGCAGTTCACTGTAATCAGGAAACTGACAAGCGAGCAAACGGCAGAGCCAATGTCAAGTTAATAATTGTGAAAAAAACCCATTAGGGTCTGAAGCATTTTATAGGGTAGGTCAGGTGATTGAAACCACAAGAATGTTTTAGGCCTCAAGTTAACAACGTAAAATGACAACGTTGGCATGGTCAGTCGGCACCAATTTGTAATCATGAATACAGGGGAGATAACATGAGAGAAAATCACTTCTGCGTTTCTGCTGTTTTGTCAATCAATTTCAAAGGGAAACATCATTTGTGGATGAATTTCTGTGTAGATTTTAAGGCAAGTTCAAACAAAATAAACCCATTTTTCTTGTACTTTTTTATCATGAAAAATATTTACAAAGTAGTTTCATAGCCAAAACAATACAAATATTACAAGTATCTAATTCATTTTGTTCATTAAATCGGTTCATATTTTTCACATTCTATGTCCATAATAAACACACCATGGCTTATGCCCCTTGGAATATGACGTCATTGGTGCCAATTGATAAAGGAATGACATCATAAGACTTTATTAGACCTGTTTTACATGGTGCAGGTAAAGGTGTGTGATTCTATCTTCTTACATGTGCAGTGTTTGTTGGCGTGCTGTTCAACAAACAACACCAAGCACAATTACTCTGAAATATTTCTTTTTCAACGGACGACCCAGTCGTCTAAGGCGCCGCAATTCGCTTTGCAGAGTTGCGTCCCTTGGGCGCGCCAGAAACCTATGAGTGTGGGTTCGAATCCCAGTACGCCCCGATTATGTTTCTAGGTTTGTCAGCACCATACCCATGCTCGTGGGTTTCACCAAAGTGGTAAATGTCTGAGACCTGCATCACTTCGGGCTTTCCTCCCACATTAAGCTGACACGCTGTGATATAACTGGAAACTTATCCTATCTCACACTTTGCATTTCTCCCTTCTTCTTCGATCCTATGTGGGAACGTGCTTGAATCATAGCGATCAGCCAGTCCGTCCGTCCGTCCGTCCGTCCATCCGTCCGTAATCATTTCCTTTCCGGGGCAGAATTCCAAAACCATTCAGTGTATTTGATCGAAACTTGGCAAATCTCTCAGGCACATACTGAAGTAGTGCCTTTTGATATTTTGGGATTTTTGTAATTTTTATTTTTTTAAATTTTTATGGAATGAAGTTGGACACAGACTCAATTGTGGATGGGGTTCGTTTCCGGGGCAGAATTTGAAAACCATTCAGTGTATTTGATCGAAACTTGGCAAAGCTATCAGGCACATACTGAAGTGGTGCCTTTTGATATTTTGGGATTTTTGTAATTTTTATTTTTTTAAATTTTTATGGAATGAAGTTGGACATAGACTCAATTGTGGATGGGGTTCGTTTTGGGGGCAGAATTCGAAAACTATTCAGTGTATTTGATCGAAACTTGGCAAAGCTATCAGGCACATACCAAAGTGGTGCCTTTTGATATTTTTATTTTTACGAATTTTTATTTTTTACAATTTTTATGGAAAAAGTTGGACCTAGACTCCATTGGGGAACGTGTTCGTTTCCGGGCCAGAATTCGAAAAACCATTGATTGGGTAAACAATGTATGCTTCTTAAAGAACATTCAACTGTTGACTCATTGCATACAGAATTGCACATTTACTAGTGGTTACTTTACAGACAGCTGCCGGGGGGATATGTCATCTTTCTGAAGACTCTTGTTTTTTACAACTTAAACCCTATTTTTGAATACTATGCGATTACTTCCCTTACACACTTAATTTGATAAACAATGTCTTGCCTCTGTAAATGAGTGCAGTAGCCCTTTCAGGCCAACACTAGGTCGAGCCACATTCTGCTTGTGATGAACTGGTATGTAGGCACTGTCACCCTCTCTTTACTGCGGTAGTCTTTCTGACATGTATCCTGTATTTCAGGGTTCAAATAATACTAAAACTGAACATCTGACAACATACCAAGACATTTGAGAACAACAAGACCAAATGTGATATGTTATAAACAAATGTTTAAGAAAATGGAAATGAATGAACTTTCCATTCAATTCCCATTTCCAATACCTATAAGTCCCATAGACTTTTGAGAAAACTATTGCAAACATACCACAGCATGACCCAGTGGAGTTAATCTTGTCGGCCAGAGTTTAAACTTCATTTTGATAAAATGCATTGCCGCTATGTTATACAATATGTTACATTCATTGTTGCAAATTAAGAAACTTTGTTGAATTTAGTTGTTTCATAGTTGTCAGTTTGTTAACAGTATTTCATGATTTATGTACAAAATATTTGAATATCATTGCTGAAACCGTTACAGCAACATTGCTGTGTTGTACCTACATTGTCATGGCACTATGTTTTCCTTTGCTCATGGTGTCTCACTGCATATTTTTGTGTTTCAGCCAGCTATGTCATCTATAAAGGACAACACAGATGTTGCCTGTTATTTCATCACAAAGCACTCATGGAAAGGAAAGTAGGTACTGCCAGTACTAGCTCTACAGGCCCTAGGTCATGTAGACCAATACAGCTTATACAATGGCACAGCACCCAGTGTCACTTTCACTAAATTGTTCCCCCGGGTTTTGAAAAACAGGGGGATATAGCGATCAGCATGTCTGTTCCTCTGTCCTCCTTCCATTTTCCGTTTCTGAGCAGAGCTCCTAAATTATTGAAATTTCTTGTTGAAACTTGCTTTCCAGATCAGTCTATTGGTGAACTGCAGTTTTTTGAAGATTTTGGGATTTAAAATAAATAAATTTTTGTTTTGTTTTCATGACAAGTTGGACTTATACTGAAAATGAGGTCAGTGCTCGTTTCTGGAACAGAATTCCAAATCTGGTGCCTTTCGATGATTTGGTATTTTGAACAATACTGAAAAGCGTTATGTTTTTCTTCATTGAACTGAAAGTATCCAAATGCAATGAACCAAAAGTGGGCTCTAAGTAGCTTAACTCCATTTCCAAATCGCACCAAAATAGGGGGATATGTCATCTCCTGATGACTCTTGTTTGTCTGTGTTCACTTGAACATGAATGGATGAATGGGTAGCTCACCAGGATGTGGAAGGTCCAAGTGAGTTTATTGCAGAACTTGTCTGTCTAACCTTCTGTCTATACTTAGAGCAAGTTTTGAAACTTGTTTTTATTACTAAGCCTGAAAGTTTATATGATAGTCTCTACACTTGGTTTAAAACAGGGTTGCATAATATACAGACATGCATTAAGTTTCTACTTTCCTTCCAAAGCAAAAACATTACCATTGGCATTTCAACAAATGTATTCAGATGTGCTCCATATTTTATAAGATGGTGAACACTATATCTTTGTTTTATCTGTGGTCCTTTATATTAATGTAGTAGTATTAGTCAACAATTAATCACTTATACTTTATTTAATTTTCGTCAAAATCATGTGGGAACTGATTTGGTAATCACACCACATATTTGTGTTGTATTTACAACACTGACCAGACATTACTGGTGAAACAAACCTTACTTGTCACAGAACGTTTACCTAATTGCCAGCATTTCACATCGGCTAGATTTTGGTTGATGTCATTTAAAAATAGTTACTCAATTCGTCTCTTTAGGACGATTCCCATAACGCGATCACTCATAGGTCGATATCAAACAGTGACCCATCGTGCTTTACAATACTCACAAAACTATCCGGTGATGCTAATGCTTATTTATAAATCAATATTGACAGTAGCGGGTGACCTCACCTAGGTGAACACTACCAAGCTGACTGTTTTTTTTATAAGGATTGACTGTGTATATTTTTTTGGTTCATTGAGGTATGAATAAAAAAAAATACACAATCAATGCCAAAAACAGTTGTATATATCAAAACAGACAAAAATGACGAGATTGATAAACATTCCAGGTGTAGGAATACATACTGTGGCGTGACATGAATCTAGTGATCGTTTAATTTATGCACATAACTTGACATGCCTACACAGTCAGTAGCCAATCAACTGAGAGTAGGATCAAAACAATATTCTTTGGACCTGTCAATTAAGGCAAGAGGCGAAAAGAACTGCAACAGTCAGACTGTAACGAACCGGAAGAAATAGTCTGGTAGAAGGCAGCTGTTTCAAATAACATGGTCAGTTACTGCCAGATTCAAACATCACTTCCCTGATTATGGTAAAACACAGTTGGAAAAATGCTAGTTAGAAATGAAACCCGAAGACATGAAAGTTGAACCTAGGTGAGAGGGAAAAAAACAGGCGAGCGAGCCTGCACGTTTGCTGTTTCATTCATTCTTGGCCTTCGGTTTCAAAGGGTAGTTTGGACAATGAATATGCATGAAAGTCGCTAAGTGTCCTTTGCATGACGATACATGTGAGCTGAAAGGGAATTCCCTCGACTGTAATATTGGGATTCCCTGACATTCCGCTGTAATAAAAGTAGTATGCCTCGGTGGGCGCGGCTTAATGTTTAAAATTCATTTGGAAATGAATGCAGTAACACATGACCAATTCAGCTAATCAGAATGCAGGAATTTCAATAAACACAATGAAAATTTAATTATTTCCTGATGTACGTCAGTATGTCATGTGCTTACATTGTCAATGGAGCGGAGACATGCAGAACAACTTTAGGTGAATTCCTCAATGTCTAAAAATAACATTAAAAGTCATAAGGGAAAAACTGAGAGCGACATTGAATCAGGCTATGAATGATGCAGGCTTTGAAGCCAGACAGATCATGTATATGTGGGGTCACCGAAATGAAGCGTCCATTCCAAGCTATAACAGAAAATGCTCGACTCACCAAAAGAAATCACTGAGCTCCACACTGTTGTGTATTGCTTTGGGAAATCCAACTGCGCCGCCTCAAGTGGTAATCGCCATCCTCAGCAGCCGTAGTATGTCTAAACACACACCCAAAGTTCACAGAACGTTAATATCAATCCATTTTCAGCATCAGCTGGGTCTGGATTTCTTTCCAACACTAACTTTACTGGGTGCAACTTTTATTTCAAGTGAATGACATTGCTGTAGCTGCCATTTTCTGCTGTTGGTAAAACGAAGGGATGTCACTCCAAATGGAATGTTTGGGACGGATGACATCATGACTCTCCGCATTGATATAGTTCGCTTTAAATATTTAAAGATTAATTTTTAATGTTTAATGGATTGTTTTGTAATGATTTATGTATCTGTCAATATAAGCATTGAAATTGAATTTGTTGACGTTCATCGCGTCTTCATCAGCTGATGAACGTCAACAAATACAACTTCAATCCTTAAGTGATATTATTTCTGGTTTTAATACATATCCATTAACTATGTCTGTGTTTTATTTGTGGTTTGATAGGGGTTGCAAATTAATTTCTGTCGATCTTTGCACCATACCCATGGAGATCCATTGACTCTTTTTCAAACAAATCCCTGGGGGCTTTTGTGGTTAAGGGGCTTGAGCCTTGCACTCAACTAGAACATAACAATTTTTATTTTATGCTAGGTCAACAGATAAAAGGTCAAAGTGAGCCTATTTTGTCATGACACATTGTCTGTCCTTCCTGTCCTGTTATCTATCTATAAACTTCCCTGGACCGGCTAATAACACGAACCCAAAGCTTTAGGAGGAGGCCAAGTATATTAAGTAGAGTTTTTGTTTTGAAAAATAAGAAACAGTCACAGCAACAGCACATGTCAAGAATACAGCCTTCACACCAAGCTCTTCTCATAAATCATTGAAAATATTGCTTTTAAATGTTTAACAAATGTTTAAGGGATGTGTATCAGCACTTTATAATGAAGTGATGTTCTGATTTTTTTAAAAATCAAACGGGCAGGTTTCTGAAATAGGGGTTGTATTTTCCTCCAAGCAGTGGTGGAAACTGTATGTTACATGTTAATGCAAAGAGACCATATATGCCATCCTAAGACCAATTGAATACAACAACAGTCTGATGGAACCACCTTTCCAAAAGTCTTACCTGACAAACAGTTTTTGTATTTTAAGCCTTATGGTCTTCAGTTGACTTTTGTCAAAGTTATCTAAAGTGTGTAGAACTTGTATCAAGCTACAGATAGTATGTTTTTGTGACACCATCATAAGGTGAGTTGTGGTACAGCATGTTGTGGGACCAGGGATGGTCATCTTAGAACCTTCTGTGGTCTCTTGCTGGGACATACAATGACAGTGTACAATTTGGATGCTTCTTTCTTTGTGTTTTGTTGCATATACATGTATACACAATAGTGAGATTGGTTTAAAATAAGGATGACAGTTTCTCAGGTTTTTCCAAAGTTTCAGTGTGAAAAGTTTGACCCTCATCTGCTCTAAGTGCCAATTCAATATATAAGATTAAATGTTTGTCTTGTTTTCAGATACAAGAGAATATTTTCTGTTGGGACACATGGAATCACGACCTACAATCCGAACACATATGAGGTGACAAATCAGGTACATTAGCTGTATAACTTCCCTTCATGGTTAGCAGATAGGGTATTTTTGTGTGCATGGGTATGTGGTTGAATAGCTTTTTGTACAGCAAACGATTGTTACCAATACTGCAAGTTGTAGACCCTTCTAGGCCTGCTTGTACATCCCCTGTCTAGATATCAGTACATTTTTTCTGTCACAAGTCTTAGGCCTGCCTGTATGTCCCCTGTCTAGATATCAGTACATTTTTTCTGTCACAAGTCTTAGGCCTGCCTGTATGTCCCCTGTCTAGATATCAGTACATTTTTTCTGTCACAAGTCTTAGGCTTGCCTGTATGTCCCCTGTCTAGATATCAGTACATTTTTTCTGTCACAAGTCTTAGGCCTGCCTGTATGTCCCCTGTCTAGATATCAGTACATTTGTTCTGTCACAACAAGTCTTAGGCCTGCCTGTATGTCCCCTGTCTAGATATCAGTACATTTTTTCTGTCACAAGTCTTAGGCTTGCCTGTATGTCCCCTGTCTAGATATCAGTACATTTGTTCTGTCACAAGTCTTAGGCCTGCCTGTATGTCCCCTGTCTAGATATCAGTACATTTTTTCTGTCACAAGTCTTAGGCCTGCCTTTATGTCCCCTGTCTAGATATCAGTACATTTGTTCTGTCACAAGTCTTAGGCCTGCCTGTATGTCCCCTGTCTAGATATCAGTACATTTGTTCTGTCACAACAAGTCTTAGGCCTGCCTGTATGTCCCCTGTCTAGATATCAGTACATTTGTTCTGTCACAAGTCTTAGGCCTGCCTGTATGTCCCCTGTCTAGATATCAGTACATTTTTTCTGTCACAACAAGTCTTAGGCCTGCCTGTATGTCCCCTGTCTAGATATCAGTACATTTTTTTCTGTCACAAGTCTTAGGCCTGCCTGTATGTCCCCTGTCTAGATATCAGTACATTTGTTCTGTCACAACAAGTCTTAGGCCTGCCTGTATGTCCCCTGTCTAGATATCAGTACATTTTTTCTGTCACAAGTCTTAGGCTTGCCTGTATGTCCCCTGTCTAGATATCAGTACATTTGTTCTGTCACAAGTCTTAGGCCTGCCTGTATGTCCCCTGACTAGATATCAGTACATTTTTTCTGTCACAAGTCTTAGGCCTGCCTGTATGTCCCCTGACTAGATATCAGTACATTTTTTCTGTCACAACAAGTCTTAGGCCTGCCTGTATGTCCCCTGTCTAGATATCAGTACATTTTTTCTGTCACAAGTCTTAGGCCTGCCTGTATGTCCCCTGTCTAGATATCAGTACATTTGTTCTGTCACAACAAGTCTTAGGCCTGCCTGTATGTCCCCTGTCTAGATATCAGTACATTTTTTCTGTCACAAGTCTTAGGCTTGCCTGTATGTCCCCTGTCTAGATATCAGTACATTTGTTCTGTCACAAGTCTTAGGCCTGCCTGTATGTCCCCTGACTAGATATCAGTACATTTTTTCTGTCACAAGTCTTAGGCCTGCCTGTATGTCCCCTGACTAGATATCAGTACATTTGTTCTGTCACAACAAGTCTTAGGCCTGCCTGTATGTCCCCTGTCTAGATATCAGTACATTTTTTCTGTCACAAGTCTTAGGCCTGCCTGTATGTCCCCTGACTAGATATCAGTACATTTGTTCTGTCACAACAAGTCTTAGGCCTGCCTGTATGTCCCCTGTCTAGATATCAGTACATTTGTTCTGTCACAACAAGTCTTAGGCCTGCCTGTATGTCCCCTGTCTAGATATCAGTACATTTTTTCTGTCACAAGTCTTAGGCCTGCTTGTACATCCCCTGTCTAGATATCAGTACATTTTTTCTGTCACAAGTCTTAGGCCTGCCTGTATGTCCCCTGTCTAGATATCAGTCCATATATCCTGTCACAAGTCTTAGGCCTGCCTGTATGTTCCATGTCTGGATATCAGTCCATTTATCCTGTCACAAGTCTTAGGCCCGCTATGTCCCCTGTCTGGATATCAGTCCATTTATCCTGTCACAAGTCTGAGGCCCCCATTCAGTCCCTGTTTGGATATCAGTACATTTATCCTGTACATCCCCTGTCTGTATATCAGTCCATTTATCCTGTCACAACAAGTCTTAGACCCGCCTGTACATCCCCTGTCTGGATATCAGTCCATTTATCCTGTCACAAGTCTGAGGCCTGCCTGTATGTCCCCTGTCTGGATATCAGTCCATTTATCCTGTCACAAGTCTGAGGTCTGCCTGTATGTCCCCTGTCTGGATATCAGTCCATTTATCCTGTCACAAGTCTGAGGCCTGCCTGTATGTCCCCTGTCTGGAGATCAGGCTAGGTGCTGATGAAAAGGCAGTGAGGGATCAAGGACAGATAACTCTGATTGGTAACCAAAGACAACAGATGTAAATAAGGCATGTTTTGAGGTATGTGTTATATGATCGAAGAGAACAGAGTTTTGGGCTTATTATTCAAATCAGCCAGAAAATTGAGTCTCAAAACTCCATACGCATAGACTGCATATTGGAATCAGATGGAAGTAGGTCAGTCTCTTTGTGTTAATGTATGAACGAAGTAATCTTGGCTAGTATTTCAACCAACACAGTGTGTGTTTGATCTAGGTTAGTTTATGTTCCAGTGGCCCTACAGTGAGTTCATCAGTATTGTACCCAATGTGCGTGGACCCACCAACACAGAGTTCATTATTACAATGAAGAAAGGTGTGAAGAAAACAGACACAATGAAGTTTTCTACAGATCACAGAGCAGATCTTCTCACCGAAGCACTCGTAAGTCTTGTCACTTATTCCAATGATTCAAACTAAACTGACCGTGAATACCTTGTGTGGGAATAAGAAAGGCCAGCTGAATCTTGAACTCAAAACGTGTTTTAATGTTCCCTTGTTCTTCTGACACATCAGTATACATTTGAGTTTATCAATGGTAAACTTTTTAAATACAACCACAGTCATATAGCTTCTTATATCTTCAACTATTATAAGCTTCATGTAACATTCATGTAACATCCATGGGACTTTCATGTAACATCCATAGGACTTACATGTAACATCCATGGGACTTTCATGTAACATCCATGGGACTTTCATGTAACATCCATGGGACTTTCTTGTAACATCCATGGGACTTTCATGTAACATCCATGGGACTTTCATGTAACACCCATGGGACTGTCATGTAACATCCATGGGACTTTCATGTAACACCCATGGGACTTTCATGTAACACCCATGGGACTTCCTTGTAACACCCATGGGACTTTCATGTAACATCCATGGGACTTTCATGTAACATCCATGTGACTTTCATGTAACACCCATGGGACTTTCATGTAACATCCATGGGACTTTCATGTAACACCCATGGGACTTTCATGTAACATCCATGGGACTTTCATGTAACATCCATGGGACTTTCATGTAACATCCATGGGACTTTCATGTCACATCCATGGGACTTCCATGTCACATCCATGGGACTTTCATGTAACATCCATGGGACTTTCATGTAACATCCATGTGACTTTCATGTAACACCCATGGGACTTTCATGTAACATCCATGGGACTTTCATGTAACACCCATGGGACTTTCATGTAACATCCATGGGACTTTCATGTAACATCCATGGGACTTTCATTTAACATCCATGGGACTTTCATGTAACATCCATGTGACTTTCATGTAACATCCATGGGACTTCCATGTCACATCCATGGGACTTTCATGTAACATCCATGGGACTTTCATGTAACATCCATGGGACTTTCATGTAACATCCATGGGACTTTCATGTAACATCCATGGGACTTTCATGTAACATCCATGGGACTTCCTTGTAACATCAAACCTTTACTCTGACCACTTTCTTTACTCTCTTGAACTTCAATATACGAGTTTCTTTACCTTTACCCTTGTGTACAAACGAGTACCGTTCCGTCAAGTACAGTTGTGTAGGTTCAAGCTGCACAAAAAATAAAGAAATATGTTTAGTCCAAAATATCTACCGTATTTTCTTGAGTATAGTGCACACTTTTTTTCCAAAAAAACACAGCTGTGTAGAAGGAGGTGCGCATTATACACGAATTAATGAGTTTTGATGTTTTTCCCCCATGGAAAGACATTACCGTGAGCACGTAACACTGGAAATACCATGTCAACAAATCCATACTGAAGTTCGCAAATTAATCATGAAATTACACTGTCTGGCTATAAAAAGTGTTTTCTTTGTATATCTGGACTTATGTTTGTAACTTATTTCATTAATTTTATTCAAAATTCCTTTTAATAATGTTTTAATTAATTTCGGCGAAATCGTGTGTGAAGTGATCGGAAGATCGCACAACTCACCGTTATTAACAGCAACGACAGTCAGATTACCGCTATTGATGCCTTGAAACAAACTTTAGTTGACAGAGAATGGATACATATATCATAAATGCCATACTGTGACTCGTTAAAAGTCATATTTGTTTTTGTTGGACGATTCTATGTCAACACGTAATTCTCGCGATCACGCGATCACGTGCATGGGAGCCTTGACGGTGACTGGTCAGACTGGTTCCATGTAAAAAATAATACCCGGCAATAGCGATCAGCTGCTTTGCTTAGGGTTATTATTATTTTAAATATGTTTAGTAAAAGCTGCATCTAAATTAACAAGATATTGGAATATATTATTCCTGATAAAAAAATAGTTTCAGATACAATTTTTGCCGATCCTTGCATTAAAATCCTGTAAAGTTATATCATTGGGTGTGTCTTGACCGAATCACTGGTATATTCCAAGAAAACGTGTGTACAGCTGATTGCTGTGTCCGGCTTAGTTTACGAGAAAATACACAAGGTAATCTTAATCCCTGGATATAAAACAATGCCCAGCAGAACAAAAAATACAATTTAAACGGTAAATCAACATGTCTGGTGATTTTTTATCTCAAATTTCGAATTTGTACTGACCAAGTTTCTTATCACCCGTTCGTTTGCCGGACTTCGCAAAAGGGGTACAGAGTAATTTTTTTTCTTCGCTTGGTATTCAAATTTTTTTTTTTTTAAATATTGAATGGGCTAGAGGGGGATGCGCATTATACATGGGTGTGCACTATACTCAAGAAAATACGCTATGTATATCTGAATATCTCGCGTAAATATCACAGTTTCCAACTTCTTGCATCACCATGGAGACCACCCTGACAATATTTTTGAAAGAATAATGTTGGCCTTTTTTTCTCAAAATTTTCACAGGAGTTAGGCATGCTTCTTGCATCAAGAATGGGCAAAGACCAACAAAAACGCCCAAACTGTAAGAAGTGCAGACATATCTTTTCTGCAGTGGATCCACACAGTTTTTGCTGTGACTGTCAGGGAGTCTGTAAACCAACGTTCCTGTGTTCAGAATCATTCACAAGTGGCGTTCACAGAATACGTGAAGAAATGCAAGAAAAGGAACATAGATAGCAGATCTAATTCCAAGGACACAGAACATGGACCTTCCTCGTCGACAAAACCAAAGGCTAGCATCCACCTGACCCTAAATCAGTGGTCAAGCAGCCTCCGTCAGCCACCACGACATCCCTGTAGGTCGAGGAGGATGCTGTCTCGGACAGCTTTTTGGACGAAGAAACGCCCGCCGCTTCTTCCCAATCGACTAATACTAGTGATCTACCAATTATCATGAACTCCCAGGCCAAAGATACGTCGGACACATGTATGGTACTGGCTATTAACAAGGACCAGTCTACTGATTTACAGAGGTCGCAGTTAGACCAGTTGACTCTACTTGGATCAGGCTATCCCAGTTGTAACCACCGCGACGAACGTCAAATCTACCAAAAGTACGATTGCGATGTCATCCTCTGGACAGAACAGAAGAAGAGTTACATTCGACCAACTACGGACGATCAACATTGAGAGAAGGGTCGACATCCTATAGATCGACCCTCAAAGACGCAGGACAGGTCAACATTGAATTGTCACTCTCAGGATCCAGCCTTCAGAGGTTGACATTCAGGAGATCAAACTACCGAATCTCGCCCAAAGGGTCGATATTCTCAGGAGAGGTCGACATCGAACCGTCACTCTCAGGACCGAGCCTCCAGAGGCACTCCCTGGTCGCACTCCCTGATCGTGACGCATCCCTCCCAACCTCCGGTGATAGACCCTTCTACTAGTTCAGTTCCTCCAGTGACTAATCCCTTACCGACATCATGGGATCACAGAGATCAGAACACACTCTCGATTTCACAGATTGGATCTCTAATACGGTCCATATCGACGGCCTTACAGCAACGCACCAATCAGTTGGAGATAACATATGGATGCGACCACCACAATAACGGCACAAACGACTTCAGGTACTATGGTTACAGATAGGATCGATAACACTCCTACTCCTCTGGAAGCTACCCCTGAAAGTCAGACGTCACCTCCGTCATCTACGGGCAGTTTCGCCCAGATGGATCCCTCTCTGATTCTTCCCTAGACAGCATGCTCACCTTCCTCGTAGTACATCTTTGGATGATCTACTAAAGGGGTTTGCGATGCCAGCTAACAAAGCTTCTCCCATCACGCTGCCTCCAGTGGCCATCATGACGGACCTCTCAAAGAAGCTTGATTTGGCCTTCGCAGCTTTCCGCCAGCAGAAGGACATCTACACCACGGTTCAACGTTTGGCGAGACAGGGACTCATGGGATGACTACCATGGCCTCTTCTCCGGAGTTGGACGGTAACATCGCCACCATAGCCCCAAAGCGTTCCTCTAATACATCTATTATTGATGATAAGGAACTCATGCCTCTAGATGGGGATGTCTGTGACCCAGAGGAAGCCTGCATCAGAGGACCCTGAATTTAATCCAAAGCAAATTTATGGATCTTCTCATACATCAATTGGTATCAATTACCGCACTATGGCGTAGAGGTCTACTTAGCTACTGTCCTTGGGAGGAACATCATACTTTTCCGGATGCCCTGGTGATCTCCCTATCTATTCGATAACAGAATCCAAGACGTTACTCAAAGAAGTCACCAAGATGACTCATCTCCAAGTGTCGGTAGACCTTCAGAGGCAACAACTGGAGGACCAGCAGAGACACAATCATAGACGTCCCCAATTCAATCCATCCCTACACGATCTCAGCAACGTCGTTAGCGGAAAAACTGGTTCTTTTCATGGCAGAGGACAAGGCTACAGAGTCTTTATGGCCAGGACAGTCATCTTCACCATCATGAAGGACTCCGGAGAATCGCCAAAGAGGGGCGATGTCTCCTCCAAGTGACTCCTCACGTCTCCGTGACGACTGGGAACTTCCGCCTCCAGTTGTACCCATTATTCTCACCCCAGTAGGTGGAAGACTAGATCAAATCGCAGCCAAGTGGACCATCCTGGATGACTCCTTCATGTCCCAGATACTTCGAGAGGGGTATCGGCTGCCAGCTGCAACTCATAGGAGTCCCTCCAACACTCCAGAGGGTGTATCGGGCCAGACAGTTGACTGCAAGAACGATTGGTATGTTAAATTCAAAACATGCGTCAGTCCCAGAACCCTGGGGTTTGTACTCACTGATATTTTTGATCGCAAAAAAAGACAGCAAGAAATTTTGTATGATTTTCAACATGAAGCTGCTCAACGCACAGTACCTACAAAAGCTAGCTCATTTTCACATGACGTCACATGCTACTACGCTCCATCATTCGACAAGAGGACTACATGGTCAGCCTTACCTGCATGTACCCATTCTTCGAGAGCACCACCATTACCTCTGTTTTTTTT